GGAAGGGAGCTCGAGGACCACGGAGCCCCGACCCCCCTGTGCCACGCAGGGCCACCAAGCTCCCCGTCCCCCAGCAGGGCCCCATCCAGCCTCCAACCCCTCCAGGGATGGACGGGGCATCGCAGCCCCTCTGGCAGCCGTTCAGCCCCTCGCCGCTCTCACAGCGCAGCGCTTCCCCGACACCCGGCCTCCAGCTGCCCTCCCTCAGCCTCGTTTCCCCTCGTCCTGCTCTCATCTCCCCTCGCACGGAGCTGCCTCCCCTCCTGGCTGCGCTCAGCTCACCCCCAGCTCCTCAGCCTGGCTTTGCAGGGCGCTGCTGCAGCCCCTGCTCACCTCCAGCTCCCCTCCAGCAGCTCCCTGCCTTTCTGTCCTCCGTTTCCTCAAAACCCACCCAAAAGAACAGCAGGCGCTGCCCAGAAAGCCAAACTCCTCCTCCCCACCGTGGCCAGGACCAATTCTGGTGGCTGTGGACACCAACGCGGCCTCCTGAGAGCCTCGCATCTCCCCGCCAGCAGGGCTGGGGAAGCCGATGCACCAAGCAGCGTTACCTCCTGCGTTGCACCTGCGAGCGATCTCCCAGTAGACCAAACCCAAGGCGTAGATATCGGCACACTTGAAGGAATCAAAGTGCTTCATGTTGATGGTTTCATCCAGCACCTCGGGAGCCATGTATCTGCCCGACAGGGAAGGAGCAGCGTGTTAAAAAGAGGAACGGAGGATGGGAAACGAGGTTTTTTTCCCAGCACCCGGCAGACGGAATGGAACAGCACAGCCTTCATCAGCACAGGGGCCCAGCAAAGCAAACAGAGCAGCTCCAGGAGAGCAGAGTGTTGGGAAGGAGGCAAAACCCCCCCAAAGCACAGCAGCTCCAGGCAGCAGCCCCCAAGCTCATTGCCAAGCCTTACATGAGCCCTGTGGGCTGACCTACGCCTCCCAGCTCAGCAGGACCCGGCTGTGAAGGGAAGGCAGAGGGCGCAGAGCCGATATGGGGAGGCAGCAGGGAGGTTCGGGACACAGAAGCGCTGCTCCCGTACCGTTTGGTTCCAACCCTTTGGTTGGGGGCGATGTCGATGGTGTCTGTGACGGAATCGTGGCGCACGGCGAGCCCCAGGTCAGCGATGGCACACGTGCCGTTCTTCTTCACCAAGATGTTCTTGGATTTCAGGTCCCTGTGAGCAATCCCAGGCTTTCCTAAGAGAGCAAAAACAAGACGTGGCAGGGTCACGGGCTGGGAGCCGTGCTGGCGCAGAGGCAGCGCCGGATCTCACGGCATGAGCGCAATTCTCTGTGTCGCAACACGTTTTCCTGCTTGGATCCGCGTCAGCGCCCGAGGAAAGAGCTGACAGCCTGCAGAGGCCCCTTTCTGGCTGCGAGGCGCAGTGTCACCCCCAGGCCTGCAGAGGGATTCCAGCTCCAAAAGCCCTCATGTGGCTGCGAGGGGCGGATCGCTGCTGCTGCTGCTGCTGCTGCCTGCGCTGACCCCAAAATCGCAGCTGGGAAATGCTGATCTAAATCCCAGGAGCAGAGGCCGACACCGCACACAGCCATCATAGAATCACCAAGGTTGGAAAAGACCTCCAAGCTCATCCAGTCCAACCGTTCCCCCGTTCCCAACAGCTCCCACTGAACCACGTCCCTCAACACAACATCCAGCCTTTCCTTGCACACCCCCAGGCTCGGTGCCTCCCCCACCTCCCTGTGCATCCATTGCAGTGCCTGACCACCCTTTCTGAACAGCAATTCTTCCTCATGTCCAGCCTGAATCTCCCCTGCCGCAGCTTGAAGCCGTTCCCTCTGCTCCTCTCACTGATGACACGAGAGCAGAGGCCGACCCCCAGCTCACCACAGCCTCCCTTCAGGAAGTTACAGAGAGCAGTGAGGTCTCCCCTGAGCTCCTCTTCCCCAGGCTGAACGTTCCCAGCCCACCAAACCCCCCCCACAGCCACCAGGCGGATCCAAGCCCACCCAACGGCCCCCGCTCCCCTCTCCAGCCTCCCAGCGCCTCCCCAAACCCCTCTCGTGCCTTGAGTGCCCACGATCTCCATGTGCAGGTGGGCCAGGCCGCTGGCAGCCGACAGAGCGAGTTTGATCATCCCCTCGATGGTCACCGTGTAGCGGTTCAGGTAGTCGAAGAGAGATCCGTGCTCGTGGTAATCGGAGACGAGCCACAGCTGCGTCCACGTCCCGTTGTCTGCAGGAGGAAAGAGGGGTTTCTCAGGGGCAGAGCGGAGCTTCTGAGCGTCCTTTGGCACACAGAACCGCTGCTGAGGCTGCAGCTCGCTCTGGGGCAGGCCAGGCGAAGAACACCAAGGCGCAGATGATGCACACGCATCCCTGCGCAGGGGTTTTCACCTTCCTGTCCTGCACTGGGACGCGGCCACGCATGCAGCTGCTGCACAGCCTGCTGATGGCTTTCTTCAGCATGTAACTCTAGCAGCAGCACACTGATGGCTCTCTGCTCTGGGGGCCGAGGATGTTTTACCTTTGTTGTCGGCGGCGATGAAGCCCAGGATGTTCTCGTGCCGCAGCATCACCGTTTGGTAGATTTCTGCTTCCCTGAACCAGGAGCGTTCCTCACGGGAAGAGAAGATCTTCACAGCCACGTCACCTCCACGCCATCGGCCGCGCCACACCTCCCCAAAGCGGCCTTTGCCAATGATCTCCTGCAGGACGATCGTCCGAGCCACGGTCCGCTGGACAAAAAGTGGCAAACCTACCAAGAAAACGGGGAACTGAAGGATGGCTGCAGGGAAAAGATGGGTGTCAGCAGCCAGCAGTGCGTCCTGGTTGGCCGACGGTTGACCAACAGTTGACCACGAACCAGCAGGGTGTCCTGGTGGCCAAGAAGGCCTCTGGTGTCCCAGTTGACCAATGGTTTGCCAGTGGTTGGCCAGGAAGCAGCAGTCTGTCCTGGTGGCCAAGAATGCTAC